GAAGTTAATGATTCTTTTCTTTACAACTAAGGCCTCCACTTCAGTTAGCATGATCAATCAGGGAAACAAAAGTAATTTGAAATATTTATTACCCTTCTTGCAGTGTTTTTTATCACATGGGGTAATTTACACTGTTGACAGTAATATACTTTGAGTAAGATTAGTTACTTTAAGATAATTTACAACTGTTGATAACAATATACTTTGAGTGAGATTAGTCACTTTAAAATAACTTACACTGTTGATAATAATATACTTTGAGTGAGATTAGTTACTTTGTTTAAGATAGTTTACACTGTTGACAGTAATATACTTTGAGTGAGACTAATTAATTTGTTTAAGATAGTTTACACTGTTGACAGTAATATACTTTGAGTAAGATTAGTTACTTTAAGATAATTTACACTGTTGACAGTAATATACTTTGAGTGAGACTAATTAATTTGTTTAAGATAGTTTACACTGTTGACAGTAATATACTTTGAGTAAGATTAGTTACTTTAAGATAATTTACAATGTTGATAACAATATACTTTGAGTGAGACTAATTAATTTGTTTAAGATAATTTACACTGTTGATGGTAATATACTTTGAGTAAGATTAGTTACTTTAAGATAATTTACACTGTTGATAACAATATACTTTGAGTGAGATTAGTTGCTTTGTTTAAGATAATTTACACTGTTGATAGTAATATACTTTGAGTGAGATTAGTTACTTTGTTTAAGATAATTTACACTGTTTCACCAAGTCTACCTTTTTTTACACGATGTTGGCTATGGAGATTCACAACAACCGCGTGGTGTCATTATTATAATGTCGGCGAATGAATTAATAAATCTCCAGTATTATCGTCCGTGCAGTCAACTAGCTGAAGAAGTAACCCCTGTAAACCAAGAATACCTACATTCAGTAGCAAAGGATATTTATTAAAGATACTTATTGTGAACGCATTTTGGGATAAAAACAAATCTCACAGTAAAAACAATAAATTGGTGCAGTAAATATCATATGCAATCGTTCTTACTTCGTTATAAAGTAAAGGCAGTTTGTTTATTAACATTCTGGTAAACTTTAAGAAGATCTGACATTCTTACGCAGCCACCGATATCAAGTGTTTACTTGGATGTGGGCCCGGCGGTTAGGGCGCTCGACTCGCAATCTGCGGGTTCGAATCCTCGTCAACCCAAACATGCTCGCCCTTTCAGCCGTGGGGACGTTATAATGT